TCTACAGAGTGAGGAGTCAGGTCTGTGTAGATGGAATGGCATAGGCAGATTTTCAAGACTGATTACAAAGTGAAATGTCACTGAACAGCATACTATAGTATTTATAAAAAACTAAAACCAAAGGCAGTTTCTCTCTGTAGCTGGATAGGAAGACAGATGACACACAGATGATAGATAATAGGTAGATGATAGATAATAGGTAGATGATAGATAATAGGTAGATGGATGATAGATAGATATAATAGGTGATAATCATAGATAGATAAGTGATAGTAGATAAATGATAAATAATAGATGATAGACAGATAGATGATAGGTAATGTCTGGATACATAGGTCAACAGATAAATAGATAATAGATGATATATAGGTAATGGACATTAGTGGGAAGATAGAGAAGAGAGAGAGATTGAATTTTGGAGGGGGATGTTTAAATAGGGTATAAGGAAAACTAATACCCAGACAATACATTAACATGAGGAATTATGTCAAGAAAAATTCACATTACACAAATTCTTTCTAATTGTTTGAAATTTTTTCATTAAAAAGATAGAGATATGAATATGAGAATGTATAGTAAAAGATGTAAAACAATAATATATGCCCTCTGCAAACACAAATGTGCTGGGAAGAGGGATAGGGAAGGGAGGGCCATCACTTTCTTGCCAGAGACTTCTGTACTGTTTGATTTTCTTTAAAAATTAGACCACATAGTCTTGTGTTGCTTGTGCAGTTTTAAAAAATGATATAACATCTAATTTAACAATTAAAAAGCAATCTTAATAATGACCTGGGAATTAAACACATGGAACTGTAAATACTTTTAATATACAAAAAATACTGAGGAACAGCTTTCTTTCCTTTGATTCTATTCCATTGACTGCATCTGTTTACAAAGTGAAAGGGATGCTTTCATTCTTTATCCCCAAACCAATCAGGGATAAGCTTTGCAAACTCATCAGAAAAAAATGGAAGAAAAGGGAGTCCTTTGAAATCAAGACTCTTCTACCGCTTCAGTCACATTAAAAATAAACAGCTAGGAGAGGTTTTTCCTTTTTTCGACTTGGGGAATGTGGGTGGAGGGGGGTTGTCCAAATGGTGTGCAAGAAACTAACATATAAACACGAAAGATTACACCAGCTAAAATTTAAGGTACCCAGATTCTTTCTATTTTTTTTCTGTTTATAATTTTTCATAATGAAAAGTTGGGTACATTAATTAATTATACCTAGTGTCTACACATGAAAAAAATCTAGTAGAAGTATGGTTTACAGTGCTACAAATGAAGCACATTACTTGTGATCCATGATTATTTACTCTACAAAAATTACTTACTGCTAAATTACTAAAACTTGTTATCATTTCCCTTTTAAAATCACACTGGATTATTTTATCATTTCTACTGGTTTTTGTTCATGCTAACAGCTCATTTCCAAACACATGTTAATTCAGTAGAAGTTCATGAAGAACTTAAATGCTATAATGCTAACAAACCCCTGTATCAGGGGAACCAGCCCCCAATATTTCAGCATAGGTTCTTTCTATTTTCCATAAGTGTCAGCTGGCTGAGAAATAAAGAGAAAGAGTACAAAGAGAGGAATGTTACAGCAGGGCCTCCGGGGTGACATCACATATTGGTAGGACCACGATGCCCACCTGGGCCTTAAAGCCAGCAAGTTTTTATTAAGGGTTTCAAAAGGGGAGGGGGTGCAAGAACAGGGAGTAGGTCACAAGATCACATGCTTCAAAGGGCAAAAAGGAGAACAAAGATCACAAGGCAAAGGGCAAAAACAAAGATCACAAGGCAAAGGGCAAAAGCAGAATTACTGATAAGGGTCTATGTTCAGCGGTGCACGTATTGTCTTGATAAACATCTTAAACAACAGAAAACAGGGTTCGAGAGCAGAGAACCGGTCTGACCTCAAATTTACCAGGACAGGGTTTCCCAATCCTAGTAAGCCTGAGGGTGCTGCAGGAGACCAGGGTGTATTTCAGTCCTTATCTCAACCACATAAGACAGACTCTCCCAGAGCAACTGTTTATAGACCTCCCCCAAGGAATGCATTCCTTTCCCAGGGTCTTAATTATTAATATCCCTTGCTAGGAAAAGAATTTAGTGATATCTTCCCTACTTGCACATCCGTTTATAGACTGTCTGCAAGAAGAAAAATATGGCTCTGTTCTGCCCGATCTTGCAGGCAGTAAGACTTTATGGTTGTCTTCCCTTGTTCCCTGAAAATCACTGTTACTCTATTCTTTTTCAAGGTGCACTGATTTCATATTGTTCAAACACATATGTTTTACAATCAATTTGTACAGTTAACACAACAGTGGTCCTGAGGTGACACACATCCTCAGTTTACGAAGATAACAGGATTAAGAGATTAAAGTAAGACAGGTGTAAGAAATTATAAAAGTATTAATTTGGGGAACTGATAAATATCCATATTAAAATGAAATCTTCACAATTTATGTTCAGAGATTGAAGTAAAGATAGGTGTAAGAAATTATAAAAGTATTAATTTTGGGAACTGATAAATGTCCATATTAAAATGAAATCTTCACGATTTATGTTCCTCTGCTGTGGCTCCAGCTGATCCCTCCATCTGGGGTCCCTGACTTCCTGTAACACCCCTGTCTAAGGTCTGAACACAGATAAAAAACAAGCTTGAGACAGATACTGTTGTTACCTTAGAGTTGGGTTTTCATGAGAAGTTGTGCATGAATGTATTTGTTCAAAACCAGCTATACTATTAAATAATAACAGAAGACCCTCTTCTAACTAGTTACATAATCTTCCCTAAAGACTTTCTCCTTTGTTTTTTCAGTCCACATTCCTATAAATGCGGCAGGAATAAAACCCCAGTTTCCAGCTCTCACCTTTGAGGCCCCTGACAAAGACAGAAGGAAGGAGCTATCCAGGAGCTGATCCTCCTTGCAAAACTGTGCCTTGCGGAGATGCACGTGTGCGTTTCAGTACAACATGCCGCGCTGTTGTAATACTGTATAAAGACTTCAAACTATCCAGAGTATTTTTATATCGTGTTGGATGAGTTAGGATTTGTAATGCTGTTGAAGTTTCTGGGAACACATAATATGTAGCCAGTTTAACAAAGAACCTGTCAGGTGCACAGGCCTTCCTGGGTTTTTTTCTTGTGTTCCCTGTGGTCTCTGACCCATTAGGCTAAAGAGAGACAAGACAAGCCCCCCACCTGATTCTCATGACAGCTCCATCAAGAATGTGGGATGTGCCAACCAAGGATTTGAGAAAGTTGTACAGAAATGCTTTCATCAAATCTGATCAGTCAAGGGACTGAGCCCCTAACTGACCATTCTGAAGACTGCATGGAGGATGACGATTTGGGAATCCTGTTAATGAGAAACCTGAATCACAGGCACCTGGGCCATAGAGTGTGAGCATTCATGCTCTCTGCTCACCTTGGTTTCCGCATACCTTTGCAATGTGAACAGGTCAGGAGTCTCTCTCATCCACCTCCTCTGTAACATCTGGGGTTCCAGGCATGGTTTAGACCCTGTTCCAGCAATAAGAACCAATCTGCTGTACAATCTGAGGTCTTGCCTCTGTTATTTACAAAATGATGCTGTGGTTCTGAGATTATTTGGGACATGTTTGGCCCTCCTTTTGTGGACACATAGAGCCACAGATTCCCTTTTTCACTAAACAAATCCTATGGATTCTGATTTCTGGGTCTTAGGATTTTAAAAGTGAAGAGATATTTTTCTTATATTTGTGAGTTCAGTTACGATGGTGCCCGTGGTCATAAGTGGAAAACATGGACAGTTCCCATTCAATCTTGGCACTTCGAGTTGTCTTGGGGAAGAGCTTACATTTTAATTTAAAAGAAAGGTCAATTATATCCATGCTTCACAGGATCAGCAGGAGCTTCATAAATGACTTTACAGAGACGAATAAGGGATTTGATCTTTCTTTTTTGTTATCGAGGCTTTTGAAATGTGGAACTTGTGTGTTCTGCTTGTATGTTATATTCAATATCTTTTCAGATGCAATCTGTATTTTATGCTGAGATTTTAAAATGAAATACTTTATGTGAACAGGCAAAACTGGTACCAAAGGGAAACATTAACCATGAGGAAGAACATTTCTGTAAGGAGAACAGGTGACAGTATACACATGTGCGCTAATTGTAAAATGAGCATCTTAATCCTTAAAACACATCAGAATTGAATACGAGTAATCTATTGGATGATGAAATAAACACAGCTCTTTGAGGATTTGAGACTATATTCACCCTTTATTCACAGTCACTTGCAGTTCTGCTTTTCTCTGCATTTCTGTGCTGTAAGATGACTGTTGCATTGTTGAATTGTATTTTGAGTGGATATTTTTGTTTGGTGACAATTAAAATTTTTAAATGGTAAAGAATGTACATTTTCCCTTTCTCTTCCTTCTAAACATGTGTCACTGCCACAGGTCATCCTCCTGTGACCGTGTGTACTGCAGACTCTTTCAAAACCGGGCAGGCAATTAGCAATGGGAAACAAGTGGTCTACCCTCAATATTTGCTTGTTGTTCATTTACGTGCTCTTGGTACCAGTCCTAGACTCACATGTGCCCCAGAATAACATTCAGACTCTCAGCTGGTCTTGTGTTACACGTCCATGGCCCGATTCACTCCATGGTATATACATCTCTCTGCTCTGTACTCCGGGGCTCAAGTCAAGCAGCCAGTGACAGATTTCATTCCCAATAAAAGAACTAGTTCACATGACTCCCCATACATGTTGCAGCTTTGAAAACATTCATCTCAGTGTTAGAAATAAAGACAGTAAAAATGTGTGTCAAGTCCTCGTTAGCTGATGAGGTAAATGCATGGACAACTTCCTAGGACTTCTCAGCTCTCCCCTCCGTGACCTTGCAGCCTGCTCAGGACTTTGTGCAGCTGTTCCTTATCAAAAGCAGCTAAACCCCCTCAGTCTGCCCATTTAAAATTTGTGGGATGAACAAAGAGCGTGAAAATGTTGAAGACCAAAACCAAAATTTACTCAAATCAAAATAAGTACCGAGTTTATTTTTAACAAATGGCATAGCTATGTCACCGTATTGGAGAACCCAGCAGTCAGACGGGAAAAGCTTATACACAATAATACCAAAAATGCTGAGGTTTGGCATAGTTGGTAGCTGGGGACAGTGTCTTCGTTTGATTACTGTCCATTATTTCCAGCGTGCTAAATCCCTACCCACATTCCAGCCTCTAGGTGAGTCAATGCTTCACTCTGTCTCTTGTTCAATTAATTATTTCTCATCACTCCCTCAATCCAAGTGACAAAGCTTGAAACACGAACATAGACACCAGGCTTATTGGGGCGTGCACAGCCAGGACCCCAAGAAGTTATTCCTCGTAAAATGTATTTGTCCTTGTCGAAGCAAACCACAGGCCCTCCACTGTCACCCTAAACAGAGGTAGGGAAAAATTCAGGTGAGGGTTAGCCTGCCAGCCTTTTATTATGGCATTCGTCTATTATCCACATGTGTATTTTCCTGGTAATTGAAATCAGAAAGGAACTTATGAGCATATTACTCGAGCATCTGCACTGCTTAAGTACTTAGCAAAGTCTATTCAGTGAAACCACACCACTTAGTTTCTCCTGGGAGTAAAAAACCCCTTGTGAATCCTGCACACATCCCTTCCTATGTTGGTGCTTCCTTTAGACTGGCCTAGCCTGGGCATCACTGTAAAGTGTGTGCAGTTGGTCTCTATCCTGTACCCTCTACCTCCTTCCCTACCAGAAAAGTCACCACTTTAGTCCCTGGCCACCAGCACACCCCAGGAGGGTGAGTAACCTGAGGTAGTTATGGCACTTAAAACTCCCTTGCTACAGATCTCGAACTCAAGCCCCAAGACATCTCCTTAGATTATCTGAATACGCATTCAGGGACAGATCTAGGGAGTTTGTGAGCAACACTTAAACTGGGGTCTAACATTGACAAATCCTTCTAGAATTTGTCACTTTGGGACTGAAGTCTAAGGGGCTGAGACGGAGACGGGAGAGCACAAGACTAACTTTGGTCTCTTGATCTTTTCTTACCTGGCAACTGTCAGTGCCTCCAGCCAAATGCCCAGCACAGAGCTCGGTGGATTTGACTCTTCCATTCAGAAACTCGTAGCGATTACACACTGTATTCTCAATCACATGAAGCTGGGCTTCTTTGAGAAGGCCAGCCCCAAAGGTACCTGTGTTTAAAAAGATGAAAGAAATGGTTACTGCACCCAAAACATGTTTAGGAGGAAACCAGAAGAACAAAGCAGCGGCGCTGGACCTCCTGTCTGTCCGTGAGGCTGCGGAACACAAGGCAGCTCCCAGTGCCGCTCTGACCCTGGAGAGTGTAAACATCATATGTGATTCTCTGTTCCTGAGACCTGGATTTAACTATCTGGGCTTTGTCATGGTGCTTTCGGGTTGGTGGTTGTTTGTGTACTTTTTGCTTTTGTGTTGAAAGTACAAAAATGATTTTTACAATGTAAAGAGTGTCTGAGAAATGCAATTGCTATTCTTTTTATATACTTTTTTCAGATTTTTTATAGGCTTCTTTACTACTGACATCATAATGCACAATTTTATATACTGATTTTTTCAATCAATGTTATATCACGAGTTTTTAAAATAATGCTACAATCTTCATAACTAATACTTTAATGGGGAGTGACTGCTGAACGGGCATGAGGTTTCATTTTGAGATGAGGAAAACGTTCTGAAAATATGGCAATGGTTGCACACCATTGTGAATGTACCGAATGCCACCCAGTGGTACCCGCCAAAATAGTTAAAAGAGTAACTCTTATGTTGTGTATATTTTATCGCAATAAAAAAGAATAGCCATCATTTACTAAGAATTAACCTTTCCAGGCACGAGCTCTTAATGTGGTGTATGTCACTTCATCCTCACAACCGTCCTATGAAACAGGCACTTTCATCATTCCTGTTCTACAGTTGAGGAAACTGAGGCATAAGGAGGTTGTATAGTTCAGCCTGAGCCTGGGTCTGTGGAGTCACTGCCCTAATGCTTCCTCCCCAAGCACATTGGTCCCACTCTTGCTTCCAACCTTCCACATATTTGTTCATAAAGTTCATTCTCATTTCTTATTATTTTAAGTCTAAGTTCCCATAATTACACAGACATACTTCTGTCTCGCAGTAACTCTCTCAAATTATTTTCTAAAAGGGTGTGACGGTATAAAATGTTACTGGAAACAATTACTTCGCCTCACCCTTGTGAGTATTCAATTTTTAAAATATTAGCTAACATAGTAGGTAGAAATTGTCCTGATTCATTTTCTGATTTACACTTCCTTGACAATTAGGGAGAAGAAATACAACTAGGGGCAATTCTCCCAGTTGTAGTTTTTCTTTTGTGAAAAACTGCTTTATTTCCTTTGCCAAATTGCAGAACATCTGCTAAATTGCCAGAGGGAATGCTGTTTTTCCAGATGGACACGCCCAGGGATGTCTCAGTGCTCTCACAAATAATCTAGTTTTCCAATTTTGCAAGCCCAGCTTTATTAGAATTTTGCAAAATCTTTTGCTTTGCGAGCATGACACAGGCAAGAGCTGAGGCACTCTCTCTTTCCCCCCTCAAAGTCTTGGACTGCATTTAGATCATTGTCTCAGGTTCAGAAAACTGACACTGAATCTGGAGTTTACATGAGCAGCATGGAAGAGGCTCTTCCCAGAGCCTCGCTCCAGAGCCCAGCTCAGCCCTAGCCGGGAAGGAGCTGCATGGAGGAAGCTCCTCCTGACTACCAAGCACCGGGCAAGGGGTGCATGACCTGGACTGTGTAGATGTGTGAGGGAGCACCATTTTCAAAATATTTTGTTGAAAATTAAGTTAGATATCACTGCGCTTGGATCTGCTCTCAGAGCAAGGCAAACATCCTGATAAGTGGGTAAAACCACCACTAGTTGCCAGGAAACTGATGCGGTCTGTGAGTATGAGCTGCCATCCAGTGGCCAACATAGAGATGGCACCTCTGAGGGCAGGGAGGCCACGGGTGACCTGAGGATTGAAGCCCTCCCTGACTGGGCCCTGGGGAGAGGGCCGCAGGACCAGCCCCGTCATTGCAGATGGGGCTGACATGGAAGAGCCCCTTGGCCTCAACCCCTACTCTGCATTTGGAATATCCAAGTGAAGGAAGTTCTGCAAACATGAAGGGGAGAAGGGGAGAATTTCGACCTCCCTCTAAAAAGCTGAGAACACCCATTAATCTGATGTCATCAACATATAGAAAATGGATAAACAGACCTGAGTTATGTTGTGTGACTCCTCCTGGTCTAGTTAGTGTTCTGAGAATCATTTTCTCAGTGGACATGTGGGTGAGACCAGAGAAGACAGGGAGCCAGTGCAGGATGGTGGTTAGAAATGTGTGGATGGGGGTGGGAGAGAGCAAACAGTGAGTGGGCTCTGTGGTCAATGCCCAGCTACACGCCGGTTATGTGTTGTTCATTTATGATGATGGTGGTGATGGTGATGGTGGTAGTAGTGATAATGGTGATGATGGTGGTGGTGATGATGGTTTTAGTGGTAATGATAATGGTGATGGTGATGCTGCTGATGGTGGTGGTAATAATGGTGATGGTGATGGTGATGATGGTGATGGTGATGATGGTGGTGGTAATGATAATGGTGATGATGGTGGAATGGTGGTGATGGTGACGGTGGTGATAGTGCTAGTAATGATGATGTTGGTGATGATGGTGATGGTGGTGATCATGTTGAGAGTGATGATATTGGCATATGAAGATGCATAATCTTCATCCTCACAATCACCTTATATGTAAGTACAGATGAGAAAGCTGAGGCTAAAAGAGATTAAATAACTGCCCAATGTCATATGGAAGATGGGAGAGCCAGAACTCGCACTCAGATCCATATGATTTTAGCTTCATGCTTTCATCAGTTGAAGTATTGTAGAGGATCTGTTTGCTTTATGGCTGCCCAGCAGCCTTTCACCCTATACCCCATAATCCTGGTGAGGGATACCTTTTGCTCCCTTCTGGGTATGAATGGGGTCCTGCCTCTACTTCCAGTATGGAACTGCTGATGCAGGTCAGAGCCAATCAGTGACGGGCTCAGGGGCAGGACCATGACCCAATTTCAGTCTCTCAGAGTGGGGGGACTATTGTTTATGTAATGGGGAGAGTGGCCTTTCTTATTCTTTCTCAGCAGAGCTAGAGCCATGACAGCAACTGCAGCAATGGGACTGTCACCTTTGTGCCCCAAATAGTGCCTACTCCATGATCAGGAGTGCCTGGGATCTGGGGCCTCATGTGAGCCTGAAGCTTTTCAGCTCACTAAGAATTTCCCTTGTTTTGCTTAATCCAATTTGAGTTGGATTTTCTGTCACTTGCAAGAAGGAGTCATGTTAGATTCAACTCTATTCTGTATTAGTAGTAGGAGCTGCCATGATGGAGTGCTTAGAATGTGCTCGGCACTTGATGCACTTTCTTATTATTTCCCCCATAACAGCCCTGCAGCCCACATCAGCTGAGGAAACAATCAGTGAGAGCTCATGACTTTTCTAAGTCCCAACAGCTGATAGGCGGGAGCCAGGGTTCCAGTTCAGGTTTGTCACCCTGCACCTTCTCTGAACCCCAGCTTCCTCAATGGTAAAATGGAAAAAATAATACCTAACACGCAGAGGTTTCTAGTATTTAAATTTTAAAATATGCAAACACCAGGAGCAGCCTGGCAGACTCATAGGTGTCCCTCAAGCCAAGTTTCCTTTTATTTGGCCTCAGTGCTTCCAGACTGCAGTGTAGAAAAAGGGAACAAGAAGTCAAGGAGGTGAGGTTTTAAATGTAATAGGAAAGGGACAGAAAAAGGAAACCCAGCTTTGAAATTATCTAGGCCAGTGGTTTTTAACCTTTTCAAAAAACCCAAAAAAAATTTCATTAAATGAAAGCATATACAAAAGGCTGATGTGCAAAGCACCCCTTGAAAGTGCTGGTTTTACAGATAAGGGATTAGAGCCAAGTGATACAAAGAGGTAACGTGTCTAGTTCAGGTCTATCTGGCTAGTGGCAGAGTCAGAACGCTTTTCCAGGGCCCCAGACTCCCTATGTCCTCACCTGCACCTCTAAGAAAGTGGAACTGAGACATTAAGAGTATTAGTTTTCTTGCTGCCAAGGGGGTAAGGCTGATGGATATAATTATTGTCAGGGTATACTGCAAAGAGAAGGAATCCCTAAGGTATAGTACAGGTGCTGATACCACATCCTGCACAAGTGTTCCCTCTCTTGCTCTCACCCATCAACCAATACCACATGCCGTCCTAGACTTGGGGCCATGGGGCCTGTCTGCCTCTTCCCCAGATGTAGGTCGCCTGCCTAACACCCTCCCACACATGTTAGACATGTGGGTATTTGGGAAGAAGACTAGTTTAATTATAACTTTTGTCGTTATTGTTTTGCACCATGTTTAGAAACCCAGTCTGGCTAATTTCACATGAAAAATAATCTAACACCCTTAACTTGAGGGCTGGGTGAAAACTCCACTTACTTGGGAAGCAATATGAATGCTGAAATTATAATTAAGAGACTCAAAGACATCTACTGGCTTTTTGCTTGTTTTTGGTGTAAGGGAAACATACAATCATTTTTAAAAAGATGCTGAAAACAGAAAAAGAGAAAGACTCAAAGAAATGGCCTCTCTCCCCTTGCCCACATCCCTTGAAGACTGATTATGGAGACACAGACAGGTGCCCAGGCAAAGTCAGGAGGGTTGGATAACGTGCATGGATAGGAATTTTACAACGATCTCTAAAATGCTCATTTTGTAACATGCACTGTAGGTCAAAAACAATTTGTTACATGGGCAATGGAATTGATCTCACCTTGGGTTTCTCCCCAGCCAGTGATGTAACATTCAGTCCAGGCGGTGACCACGTAATTTGGAGATGGCAGACAGGCTGGGATTACTTTGTCAGTGATGATGGCAGGCCTATGAGGGAAGTATTAGCAGTTATATTTGACTACCCAGCTGGGAGCTGCAGTATCTACAACTAGGCATCCTTACCTTGAGGTCCCAGAGCCCTCTGAGCTGGCACTGCCTTGCTTCAATGACACAGAGCAACATAGAACACAGCGTTTCACCCTCACATTTGCCTGTGGTTGCCTATGGACTATACAGACACAAGTTTTCATTTGAAATGCATCAGTGGCCTGCAAGAAGTTGAGGGTGGCGCTCGCCTTTGAAAGTAGGGATGACAAAGGTATACTTCTCATGTATATTCTGTGCACAACTGGAATCCCATGCCAAGTGTGTCCTTTCATATTAATTGAAGAGGGCATTGATGATTGGGCAGAATGTTTGGCTGAGACATCATCAAGAGGGTATAAAAGTGCAAATGTGTTGTGTGCCCAGAGCAAGTTGCTCCATCTGGATCCTTCACTTCCTCCTCAGTGAATGTTACTAAACCATGGTTGTAAAAATCCAGTAAAATGCTAGCCATCAAATGAAAGAGGATTGGAAATAAGCACCTTGCATGAACAAAATGGTATGTTTTCAAAGAACATTTATATATCTTAGAGTTCCAGGAACTCTCAAACATTAGAACTCTGGTTTTTAGACCTGATTCTACTTTAGTAAGTTCAAGCGGATAAAGGACTGGATATGAGAAATGCCCTGTTCTGACTCTGACCAAGAATCATCATTGCCACCAACTTTGAAGCAGACACACTTTCTGCTTCTGGGCACCAGACATCTGTGGTGCAGAAGTCCTCAGTCTACAGGTTCCCTGGTGGAGCACTCTAGGGGTGTGGGGATGTGGGTGGAAACTCTAAACTCAAAATGTATCAGCCTATCAGAGAACTCCTCCAAAATTCAAAAGTTCCAAATTACTTGTTCAAGCCATCAGAGCACCCTACCTCTCTGAGGATCGTGAGGAGCAGAGACCTTGTATTTGCACATTTGCTGGGATGGTGGGGAGGAGACTGGGGAGCAGAAGGGAGATCAGCTACTGTTTAGGCTGAGCCAGAAAGACCCTTCTCACCTTCCTAGAGTGTCAAAGCATCCCAGAACATCACCCATCGGTTCACAGACCCAAAGACGTTATCCCAGGCTTGTGGTCAGGCCCAGAAGAGCAGCTCTGGCCCCTGCCCCATGCTTTCCCATCCAGGCCAGACCATCCTTGTCTGCACCGACACCCTGCCCTCCAGAGTCGCCAGCACAGCGAGTGCCCTATGTGCCTTGTCGCCTGTCCCAAACCTGCCTCTCCTACAAATAACTGTTTCTTAACTGACAGCACTGTCAGTACCTGCTTAGCTTTAGCAAGGCAATATCTGCTCCTGTGGGCTCCAAGAACAACCTACACACTTCTATTTCCTGAACATGAGATTCGAGATTCACTTCTTGGTGTGCACCCAGGATGACCTTGTAGAATGAAGGCCTTGAGAACCTAGAAAAGATGAGGATGTCAAGAGAAAAATACGGTCCAGCCCCTTCAGGTACCCTCTGTGCCGTGACCTTGGCACTATCTTCCTGAGACCCTTGGCCACCCAGAATCAGTGACTTATGAGTGACAAGAAACAAAATTCACAATTTGCTGGAACCTGACAGTTAAGGAATGTTCTCAGTCTGTTTTGGCAGAGACTGTAATATAGTTTGTATATTTGTCCCCACCCAAATCTCATGTTGAATTGTAGTCCCCAGTGATGGATGTATGGCCTGGTGAAAGTGTTTGGATCATGGAGGTGGATCCCTCTTGAATGACTTGGGCCACATCTTCAGGGTGATCAGTGAGCTCTCACTCTTAGTTCTTGTAAGATCTGGTCATTTAAAAGTGCTTGGAACCCCCACCACATCTCTCTCTGTTTCTTGCTCCTGCCCTGGCCATGTGACATGCCTGCTCCCACTTTGCCTTCCACCATGATTGTAATCTTCCTGAGGCCCACCCAGAAGCAGAGGAGATGACAGCATCTTGCTTCCTGTAAAAGCTGCAGAGCCATCAGCCAATTAAATTTTCTTCGTAAATTTTCCAGCCTCAGTATTGCTTTAGAGCAATGCAAGAACGGCCTAATACAGACTGATGCCTCTGGTAGTGAACAGCTCTGTCCTGCAGTTTATCCAGGTCCACAAAATCACCTGCACTGTGTCTCCCCTCTGCAGGTTCTCTCTAGAAATGCTTCCCTCCTCTCTCATCCAATTTCCCTGGAAATTCTGCCTCAGGCTTCTGTGCGTGCATTCCCTAGTTCCTAGTGTTCCTTCTAGAAAAGGAAGGGAGGTGGGGAGGAGAAGAGGGGAAGATGAGAGGGAACAAAAGAGGGAGGAAGAGGAAGAGGAAAAAAGTCTTGACGATAAGACCACCTGTCAGTTAAACATACGTCTCCAAGCAGCGAGCAGCAGTCAGCACCCACTCTGGGGATATTAAGGTGCCTCCACAGAAGTGCTTTCCAAACCTAGAAAGAAAACATGCAGAGACTTTGTTCAAATTTGATGGTTTATTTTACTCCATTGTATAGAAAGCCAAAAAGACAGATTCACTCAAATTTGATCATGTTCATATTCCCAAAGGAAAGGGCTACCAGCCCAATGTCAGGACAGTGGTAACTTTGGTGCTGCAGGAGTAGGATTTTTCAGAAGGGCTCATCTATGCCACTTCTTCTGATGCCTGGGGGAGGTACAGACACAGCCTGTCCACAGGAGAGCAAAGCTAAGTGACTCAGCATGAAGCTCTACAGCCGTGGCTTATACCCCACAGCCCGGGACTCCAACAGAAGCGACCTGCCCAAGATCGTCCCCCGAGGTCTCTTTCATTTTTGTGACAAGATCTATACAAGGTCTGATGAATCACTCTTCAAGGAGCCAGATGTGATCCTGAGCAGCAGTGACTCATGAGGGTCTTCTGAGCCTACCTGAGAACCTTTACTTTTGGGGGATGTTTCTTGAATCACTTGCTTTCTAGGACTGCGTAGGCAGGTGATAGCTCAGAATAATGGTGTGAGCCACTCGGAAACAGATTGTAATGAAGAGCACAGATAAAAAGTGCATGATGGCAGCACGTTGATAAATCCATGAGGACAACGACCACCACACAGTTTAGGAAAGAATGAATCTGAAATATGTGGAAGGTGAAAGCTCCATAGAGCAGGGAGTTTCTAACCAATAAAGTAAGGAAAAATCAAATCGACAGCAGAGTGAAATGCAATGTGATCAGGTTTGTCGATGGCATTTCATAAACCTGTGAAAGGAAGTCTCTTTAGGGGAGAACAGCAATTGAGCATGGGCAACCTGGTGTAGAAGTGAGTCGAGGAAGCAAAACAGGCAGGCGAGTGGGCCTGTTTCCCAACAGATATCGAAGAAAACTGAACTTATGAAAGGCATGTTCCACTGAAATGATACCCAGAAGCTCTAGGTTCTGTGGGATCGGACTAATCAATCTTAATTGATGGGGATCACGACCTATAATTTGTTCACGTGTTTGTGAATAGATGAGTAGCCTCGGCATTGAATTCAATGATTCACAAAAGTGTTTACAAAAATCTGTGCCTGTGATAGACTGTAGATAAGTTTGCTCTTGTCCTCTCTCACTGCAAAGTGTCACATTTCTAAAAACTTCCCTTTCTTTTCATCTGACTGTGAGACAATGGATATTCATAGGAACCCTCAGAGCATCTTCAATATTTTCCAGCAATATTGGAACTTGGTGCAAATCACTGTACCTACAGATTTTGATGGAGCTGCTCAGATCAAGAAAAAGATGACAATTTTGGCCGTTTTCAAAGCAGAGAACTTAGGATAATATAATTTTTTTTATTTTTCTATATCTTTTCCTCCTTCAGAAAACATAGAGGCAGGGACTGATACCTCAGCTGTGTGGGTTCTGTGTAAATGTAGAAGGGTTTTGTGGGACCTATGTGGAAGGACAGTATAGATAAGTTTCTGGGCCTATTCTTACCTTGTTCTAAGACTGACTTGCCAGGGCCAGGAATGTGGGTGGGCCACACACCCACCTACAATGCTTCCAGGACATTTCTTTGGCTCCACTTGAGGCTTCCCACAATCAAATGAAGAGGATGCTGTGGCACAAGGTGGGAAAGAATTCACCTTGGAGTCCAAGTTAGCAATTGTGTCGTTTAATTCAGGACGAATTCCAAGCGCTAGTTTTTCACATCTCAAAGGTGAAATTAAATAGTAAAATCATAAACACTTTTTAGATTTTTCTTTCCAAGTTTAAAAAGTGGTAGTAAACAACACAGGACACTCTCCTTTCAAGGAAATATAAGCACCTTCTAACTATTTTGTTGGAGAAGTGATTAAAGAAATTGGTATAGTTCGGCATTAGAATGAGATATTTTCTGAGAAGACCTTGATTGGTACAAATAGCTATTTCTCATTGTTATTCTGACTCGATATAATATGTTTAGAACATGATGTCATTCTTTCCATCATCTCCGTCATCATCACCATCATCATCTAAACCATGTAAAGTTTACTGAAAGGCATGAATGATTCTTTTGCATGTGAGTCTCTGTGTACACATGTGTGCATGTGTGTACGTGATTTTACGTAGCAAGGGTAACTGTCCTATGTTGAAATGTTGCCTTCTCTCAGCCAGCTTCAGGACAGTTCCTCTGGGGAGCCTCCCATGACTAACCGACTACTGTGGGGGTGATTTACACACATATACCTCTATTCTTTTCCTCCTCCCTGCCTTCTCTCTGCAGCAAGCCCGCAAGGTCTCTGGAGGTAGGGACAGTGTCCTATCTTTGGTACCACCCACCAATGTCTACAACAGTGCAGGGGCTACAAAGGGTGTTCAAAAATGTTTCTCTGTTGTCTCTAGCCCTTCAAGGTCTTCAAAATTATAAATGTTAATATAGTTAATAATTATTCATATAATTATTAATAACAACTGCAAGAGGAAATTCCTCCCCAACCAATCAGAGATTCTACACTCCAGTGAATCTGGAACCTGAGTTTTCCAAATAACTTTTC